TATGAATTGACTCGATATAATGACTTTCATTAATTAAAATCAATTGAAGTAACTGTACTCTTCTTTATTTGTTAAAATTATGTCCCAATTAGATTTTTTTTTTTTTGACAATACTTTAATGAGGCATCATTTAGTACCATTTTTTTTTATAACTTAACTAAACTCTTTTTCCCTTCATTTGGTATTTTTGACTCACTGAGTTTTTGTCAAACTAGATTTTTAACGAGATAATTATATGTAAATAGTCATGCAATGGGAGTTGATCGTAATAAATCCAACTATACGGCATTGTGAACAAATAATAGAGTGAGAGAATAAAATTTCGTTCTCACATGAACTAAGTAATTAATCTAGGATCAATTAATTATAATTCTAATTAAATAACCATATTCTTATGAAGAATTTACACTAATTAATTAATTAAACTAAATATTCTAATGAGCAACTTGGTAAGTGAGAATTTTCCCCCCCTCTTTAGTTCTCTGTTATTAGTCATTACACAATAAATTGCAAAATCAAACTTTAGAAATCAATTCCCGTCTTCACTCTTTCGAGCAAAAACATTATGCGCTATTGGGTGTCCTAGTCCCCCATTCAAGACAACATTTTGCAATCACTAGTCAGCACGAAAAACTAAGGGACTGTTCTCTTTGTCGTTTTCAAGCATTTTTCTATTTTCGATTTTTCAAAATGGTGAAAACGTGTTCTCCTAGCCATTTTCGAAAATTCATTTTGGAAAACAAAAAAAAAAAAAAATTGTACACAGAACTCAAAACGTCTAAAATGACGTTTTGAGTGTTTTCGGCAAAAACACTCTATATTTGCAAAACACGGAAAACGCTCTTTTTAGACCTCTTTCACTTCCATTTCTCACAATCCCTGCGTCTCTCCCTCCTCCAACTCTTTTACCTTTCCCCTGACTGATACAGATGGATGCTCCTCTCATCGGAGCTCTATCGCTTTTCCGCTTTCAACACCCTCATTTTTAAGTCGCCACTTGTTTATTAACTCATCGGTCCAGCCATCCAGGTGCTACGCCATCGATTTAACTCGTCCAAACAAGGCATCCTCCTCTGTTTGCCAAACAGCAGCAACACTAAGCGCTAAAGACCCACCCAAGTACCCGAGACGGGACGACCCGAAGTTCCGAAAATAGAAACAGAAAGAAGCGGAAATACTCAAAGACATCGAGCCCATTATTTATCTAACCAAAGAAATCCTACACTCAAATAGGTGATTTCTCTCATCCATTCAAGTTAATCTTGCCTTGAACTTTAATAATTTATGTTTAGATATTTTCTTCGTCGTCATATTTTTGCAATTGCTTTTAGTTGCAAGGTTTTTTGAGGTAAAAAATATGTGGTTTTGATGCGATAATTGAATGTCCAAAGAAGGGATATACAATGTTAAATTGAATACTTAAAAAACAGTTTCTGATAATGCACTATTAAGTTACAAAATAACGTCCTTATCTAAAATCCAGTGATAATATGCATAATTTAGGCCGCTGTCTTGTCCCAGTGAGTTGTTTTACCATGGCTATGACATTTATTTGTGTACCTTATTGATTAAAAGCTAGCACCCATTCTAGTTTATGGAAAGTCCAATATTTGGCTAGAAAAGGTAATTAATGGTTTCGTAAACTATTATCCTATTTGTGCTGGTGATATAGATGGTTGTTTGCGCAGAATTTCCAATTTCTTTTTGGGAGTGTCAAACATAGTGAAGTTTAGATGTGATTTTTTGAAGAAAAGGGTTTTGCATCCTCTCTTTTCTGCTCATTAATTGCGTTGTATGGATAATTCTTTGTACATGAGTTTGCTTAGTGTGTTTATGCATATTGCTTTGGTCGAACTTCAAAAAAAATTAGCTATGTATGGTGTAGATGGTGTTTGATGAAATTTCTGTGAAGGACATCATTGTGTGAATGGTCTTTTGTCATGTTATATGGAGGTTATATCAGGACTAAAATGGACAGTACTTTTGTCAGATTTACCATTGTCTTTTTTGACTTTCCCCTAGCTATGCTAGTCTCATCCTATATATCCTTTTACCCATTCGACAATCCTTTCTTAGCTCTCTAGCATACATTAGTCTCCAAAAATATATAGCTAATCTAGTCTCCAAGGTTAAGATAAACCAATTCTCTATTCTTCCTCCTAAAAACAATGTGCAATCACTATGTTCCAGTTACATAAATCAATGCTGCTTAGAACTGCAATTGTTAGTAGCAACATAGAGTTGAGCGTTAGAGTTGGAATGGTGTGATTGTGGTTCTTAGGCCTCAATTTCTAACGTTAGTTATGAGTTTATTAAACCTTTTAGCTCAAATGCAATGACTAATGAATAGGCTTCTTTATTTTCATGGGGTATCCAAAACCTTGACGCTGAACCTGAAATTGCATACTGGTATCATCACTTGAAGTTATACCCAGGGGATGAGTCTCGTCCTTTGTCCACTAAAAAGCTTGTATTCCTGGAAGTTTTTCTTAAGCCTTCAGAGGGTTACTTATCCCGAATGAAAAATCATATTAGACTTATTGTGCTCATAAGAATGAGCTGCTTGTGTTTGTCATCCATTTTGGACGAGCACCTTGGACTATAATTAGGAGTCAATATTGATTTATTGTCTAATTTTGTTGAGTACCTTGGACCATAAGTAATGTGAAGCATGTACCATTTTGTCAAAATTATATGCTTGACATCATGTCAAAATTAACATTTTGTTTGTACCGTAGATCACCTAACACATAATTCCACTTATAAATAATGTGCATTCTAGTTATGTGTCTTTTCATACTTAAAAGCATGGTAAATGAGATGGGAAAATTGTATGCATAATATATTTTCACTTTTTTTTCAGATGCTTTTATTTATTTATTTATTATTTTTTATGTATGTGTTTGTTTTGTCGAGGAATAGTTGATTAAGTTTCTTCCTTGAATTGCAGCCTAGAAGCTGTTGTGAGGTCATTTTAGTGGTTCGATAGTACAGGGTAGGATATCGCAGCAATGTTATTCTTTTGTCATGATGCTGTATACTGCAATGGGGATGATACAGGATTGTAGATATTTCTCTCTTACGAATATTACATGAACTTGTGGATGTGACACCTTTCTTCTGTAGAATGAATTCTATTGAGCAATTAAGGAAACTGATTAGTCATTTTTACATAAAGAAATAGGATGGTCAAATTCTGTTGCCATATATTTTGGCCCTTGTTATTGTTTTCGTGCTTGTGATACGTATAATCTTTACAAACCTTGTAATTTTTCGTTTTAAAACTTGTGTTTACTGAGATTGGTGAAATGGAACATTTAGTCACGTCAAATCATCGTGTTTGTGTTACATTGTTTTCATTTTCATTTTGCCATGACACGTAAACTTCTAATAGTATTTACTGAACTGTGTTGCCAAATTTAATTTAGTTTGTGTTTTTTATATCTGTCAAATAATATTTTAAGATTCGCTGACTTCAAAATTTATATGATATTATTTCATACCATATTAACATTAAACTATTAAAATTTATTGAATAATCATATTTCTTAAATAAAATATTCTCAAAATTTCAAAGTGAACGCGTTTTTCAGTTTTATGTTTTCAAAAACAGCATTTTAAAATGACAAAGAGAACTTATTTTCAGCAATTTCAAAACATGCACTCAAAATGCAAAACCCAAAATGAATTCAAAACTCAAAACTACAAAATTGAAACACGAAAAGTACAACTCCTAAATTTTTTTTTGAATCAAAGATGGATTTTATTTATAAAATGTTGACTCCTTCAGTAGTCTATTAAAATGGAATAAGGACTAATTTTCATTTTTATTCTAAACTAGTATGGTACTTTCCCGAAATTTCTTTCTTTATCTTCTTAAGATAATTTTACATATACATTATAGTGTCCATAATATACACGTGAAATTTCATGATTGGAGGGTTGAAAAAACTTAAAATGGAATAAGGACTAATTTTCATTTTTATTCTAAACTAATACGATACTTACCCAAAGTTTCTTTCTTGATCTTCTTAGGATAATTCTACATGTACATCATGGTGTCCATAATATACACGTGAAATTTTATGATTGGAGGGTTGAAAAAACTATTTTTCAACCCTCCAATGATGTTACTGTTTTTCAACTCTCCAATGATATTATGCCACTTTTACATTATACATGGGTGAAGCTATGTACTGTCCAGCAAATGCCCGCACTGGACTTTTGGCCCAAGCCCATGGTCAATCCAATTTTTATCCTTTTTTTTTAAGTATGTTTTTCATTTATTTATAGTCCAGCCCACACACTAATTTACCCCAACTCCAATTGCACGGCGACATTTTTTGACTCTTTTCCCTCAGCAAGAAATTAAAAAAAATTCTTTAAATCTGCCCTCATTTGGAAATATTTTCAAAGTTCATTTCTTTCTTTTCTTGGACCCTCAAAGTTGCAGCAAAAAATTTCTTGATTATATGAGTTTTCTGTTTAATATTAAGGATTTTGATTATATTAATGTTGAATATTGATAATATTCGTGATGGATTCTTGAAATTTTGATTTTTGTCAATTAGTTAAATAATTAATGATGATTTTATGGTGTTCTACCAATTTGTAAAAATTAGTAGTTCTTTTCTTATTAATTGTACTTAATTGTCACTTGTTTATTTTAATGTGAAGTGTCAATGTAAAGATTATCTAAAAGAAAATATTTCTTAGAAAATATTGATGCGAAAATATCGAATAAAATGGATTTTGAAGTTGCACAACTTGTTACAGATTATAGAATAAGGAAGAAGATAATTATCTTATTAGTGTTGTCGCTTAGTTATTTTTAGCATTGGCGTAATATCATTAAATTCATAACCGAAAAGATCGACCTTGATTAAATTTTGCTCGCACTGGACAAAATTTCTGGCTTCACCCCTGACATTATGGATATCATAATGTATATGTAGCATATCACTGGGCATTGCAAGTGCTTGAATTCTACATCTAAAAGATTAATATACCAATCACAACATAATATACAAATATCTACCAATTATTCGTTCAATGAAGTCCACAAAGTTTTATAGCCTTAAAACATAATCCTCACATAACAGCAATCAAATTTCCCAATATTAAAGCATGCGTCTAGTAAACTGATATTGGATTTGCAGCTACGATAACATGCCAAAGGCACCCGTAACTATTCAACATATGTGTTTCGTCATCATCAGAAACAAGATAATTAACCACCACCACCAGAGCCGTATTTCTTGCCAAACATAAGAACCTGTAATTTGTCGTAACCAGCAAGTACACCAGCCCCAGCAACAGCACGCAGTATGTTGGCTCCAGCACCCTTGAAGAGTGATTTAGTCCCTTCCTTCTTGATGATCTGGGAAAACGCATCCATTGAGCTCTTATATTTGACGGCCTCTCCTGAGGTCATCATCATTCTTCTACGCACGGTATCAATTGGGTAAGAGGCCAACCCGGCACCAATGGTGATACCCCATCCCAGCAAGAAACTAGCAAAGAAATTATCCTGCGGATAACCAGTAACAGTAACACTGTTAGTAGCCTGCAAACTGGCTTTTTCCATCTAGAACTTACTAATGTAGCAGATGAAAATAGATGTAAAATAGTGCATCAAACAAAGGAAAAAGATCATGCCAAAGCACATAAAATTGGGTTATCATGAAGGTCAAATATTATCATGGCAACACAGCAGCAGAAGACCTGGAGAGATCAAGAAATCAGCCAAGTTGCAAGATTGGCTTTCACTCTGATGTATCAATGTCATAAAAAAGTGGAAGAAAAGGCGAAATATCTTATGGAGGGAAATAAAGTGCCAAATATGGATTGATGATGTATAAGTTATAAATAGAGGTCTAGAATCAAGAGTTCAAAATTCAGAGGTCTGCTGACCTGCAATGAACCAACCAGAACTACAGGTTTCAACGAGTCATACAATCCAAAGTAGAGCCCACGGTAGACAATAATTCCAACACATGAGACACTAAATCCACGGTAAAGCCCAGGAAGACCATCAGATTTGAGTGTTTTCTTGTAAACATCAATCAAACCATTAAATTGTCTTTCACCACCCTTTTTAGCAGCCTTAGCATCATTTGCCAACCGTGTTCTAGCATAATCAAGGGAGTAGACAAACAGAAGAGACGATGCACCAGCAGCACCACCGGATGCCAAGTTTCCTGCAAACCACTTCCAGTAGCCATCCCTGTCTTTCTTGAAGTTAAAAAGCCTCTTGAAGTAGTCTTTGAAAGCAAAGTTTAAAGCCTGAAGCATATGCATTAATTTCAAATGTCAATAAAATGAAAAGCTGATGAACTAGAGAACTATAACCATCTTTTAAGCCATGTTTTAATTTCACTAATATCTTATCTCAGAAGCACAAGAACAAGGACAAATTTATTGTATAGCAGTTGGTATGTCTTTAATTAAACGCAGAAAAATGAACATAACAAAACTGGTCATGTAAGCTATTGCATGATGAATTTAAATGCGCCCATTCCCTTTGGCGAGTTTAGACTATATCTTGCCCAATTTATAATTAGCAAAGTGAAAAAAAATAAAAATAAAACCACCACTACAGCGAGCAACGACAGATATAATTGTATATTTACCTGGGTGGGAAAGTATCTGATAACATTTGCAGTGTTGCCTCTCCAGAGAGCAATCATTCCTTCATCCTTCATTGTTCGGGCAAAGCAATCCCCAATCCCTTTGTATGGTTCAGACAACCGACCTGATTTGATCATTTCATCCTGGTTCTGAATCAAGAGCTTAACTCTCTCTATTGGGGCAGCAGCTGTCTTAGAGACAGCAGCAGAAACCCCTCCCATGAGGAAATCCACCATAAAACTGGAAAAGCCTTTATCCTTTTCAATTGGAGCAGGAATCATAAAAGGAAATATCGGCGATACGGTTTCCAGCCCAGATCCTAGGTATGATGGAAAGAAATGGCTTTGCAGACCTCCGTTGACATATCTACCAGACAAATTGGGTAAACCAGCATTCCTTGAGTGCATGTGTGGAGAAATTTGAGAGAAGAGGTAAGATTCTCTTTGTATCTTTTGATATACAGACGGATGCTGTGAACCGTCTGCCATGTTAGCAAATCAAAGTGGTGATCTGCCAAGAAAAATCATGTTAATAAGAAGAAAATTTTCTGAAATTACTCCACAACTTTCATTTCATAGATGATGAATTGATGATTACAACCATATTCTTCTCATCATTAGAACTGCAACTGTGAGCAGGTTGAATTATAAGTAAAATCTTATTCAAATATTTCAAAGCAGCTTCAGTAAGACATCCTGTGAGGATATCTAGTTCCATTGAGCTTGTGAAAATTCTTTTTGATATAGTTTGAAGAAAAGTGTATAGAGATATAATATCCAGATCAAAAGTCTAAATGCACTGAGTACCAATTCACGAACTTGTTAACTCTAGTAGACTACTATTGACTTCAGCAATTTTTAAACAAAGTAACCACTATATTTTTACCCTTTACAGGAATTTATACTAGAGATAATTTATGAAGGTAAACGCCTTTTGAATTGCATTGTGTAACTAAAGAAGTTTGATAGGTAATTGCATGGATAATACATCTACACAAACCAATTTCACCACTAAATAATTATTTTTCCGAAAGCATGAACATCAAAAATAATTTAATTGTGTGCAATTATCTTCCAGAATTCAGTAAACTAATCAGCTATTTCTTGATGAAATGTTCACAGCTTAAAAATGCCGAAACACAAGATAAATATAACGATCTGTATTCCTATGTTCCGGGGACAATTCTAGCGGCAGACAAGGCAACTTGAGGAGGAATAATTCTAGAAGATCACTAATTAAAGAAGTCACCACCATGGATGTCAATTGATTGTATTACGGTCAATTCCACTAAGTTTATTACAGGTTCAATTTTAAAAGTTCAAAAAATCAATTCAAAATTCCGGGATAACCTGAAATCAAGCTCAAGATCACTATATAGATAAAATCAGTGCCCTCCGAAATTCAATTACACATTCATAACAAACATACAAAAGCTAAAAATAATTCAATTGCACAAAACATAAAGGAAATTATTCGAGTAATCAAATAAAATCATCTGACCAGGATCACCGTTATTATTAACTAAATCAGGGCTGATCGCATTAAACTATAACGATATAAGTGTTACACATACAATTATATAAATTGTGTGTGGGGGTGGGGTGTGATTTTATGTATAGAGTGATAGAATTCTGGAACCTGAGGAAGGATATTGCCAAATATGCCGAAGGGGAAAGATGGATGAACTAAGAAGTGAAAAATTTCTTGCATATCCGATAGAGGAGATTAGGGTTCACACGAAATTACTTTTCTGTCCCTACTAATTCCACAAAAATTTTTGTCCTGCTATGCCCCTGTTTGCCTCCATTTTTGCTGAATTTTAATAGTTGAAATAATATTTTTTTGAAAAATATATAATTGAAAAAAAATGAAATTTTTTTATCTGCGTGTAATATTATTTTACGGAAGATTGTGTTGTTGAAAATAAGAAAGAGAAAAAGAATGTAAATGAGAATGGGGGCCAAACGGAAGCTATATAAAATTACTTTCGCAAACATAATTATTAGACCTGATCTAGACATCGACTCGGTCAAGGCATTAGGTAATAGGATTACTGGTCCGACAGGTGAACCGGTGGTTGGACCAGTGGATTATTACTTCAAAATAATTTTATAATTTTTAAGTATAAATTTTTTCACTTATCAAAAAAGAAAAAAGTATAATTTTTTCTGCTTGAGACAATCAAAGTTTTCAAGTTCTTTGTCATTAATTATTTTTATACCTTTAATTTAATGATTTTTTAAACTCATTTATCAGTGATAATGGTTACATTTTGATTTTATAATTTGGTACATTATATTAAAAAATTTATATTTTCCCTTTTTGTTAGTTATTGACCAAAAAAAATATGTTTATTATCTATTCAATTTATTTGAGTTAAAATTATTATTATTTTTAAATAAAATAAGTATATAAAATAGTTATTTGATATTACAAAATGATTGAGAATATTGTAGTAATTTTTTTTTAAAAAAATTATTTCCAAAAGACTACAATTTATTTATAGGAGCCTGTTTGGTTTGGATTTAAATTTGATTTTAATTTAAGTCAAAGTCAAACAATCAAAATTAACATCTTTCACGAGTCCCACAGCTTTTCAACCACACATTTCAAGAATTTCTATCACAATCCATTAAAAAAATCTAATTTTAATTCCTACCAAACACCATCTGTATTCTATTACACAAAAGACAAGGAAGTGTTGCTTGGTTTGACGGTAAGTTCATGTTCTAATTAGTAGAGTCCAAATGTTCAATCTTTGGATCTTAAATTTCAACGGAGAAAAAATTTAAAATTTTAAGAAATCAATTGGGCCGAACCCGACAATTATATAAAATTAATTCAATTTTTGACTAGGCCACTTGTATTTACTTAATATGATATTGTTCGGCCCTGCCAAAGGTCCGGGTCAACATTTACCGGAAGGTCCAGGCCGGACCTATTTTAATAACATTGCTTGCAAATGATCGCGAAAGTTGTACAAGTTGATAATTAAAAGTTTGTTTTACCAAATCAGTTGGTTTCAAAATGTGTAATGTGTGCAAATGCATTTTGACTTAATATCAAACATATGCATGCCTATACGAATCATAAGCGTAATTATACATTTTTCAATTTTTAATATTAAACTAATACATAAATATAATAATGCATTTTTTGAATTTTATACATATTTTTCAAATAATGATTAGTGAGCAATACAAAAGTAAAAAATTGCACCTTCGTGTTTCTGCAACTTGATGAAGATCTCAACAGTGATATTAGGGGAAGATCGAAGAAGAAGTAGGCTCGACCTCGACGTAGATAGTTTGCAATATTACAAAAAAAAATTGCCTTAATTTTTTAATTTTTCTAAACGTCAAAGTCCTACATAGTGCTTTATATAATTCATGGTCTTAGATGATTTGAACTAAATCGATGTTTGTAGCTCAATTTGCCTTTTTTTTTTTTTTTTTTTTTTTTTTTTTTTTAAGTTTTAAAAATAGTTGGACTTTACTAGACCAATTTAGACAATTTTTAATCGAATGCAATCCACCATAACAAGAAAAATACATTTTTTAAATCATATATGAAAGATCAAGTCTTAAGTTTTTACGAATTAAGCGAGACAAGATGAAGTTTATAAGTAAAGCATGATTAAACGGTAAATACAAGTTTTGAACTTAGGTGAAGCTTATGCAAACTTTTTATAACAATGATTTTTAGAACTATTTTGACGCCAAAAAAGGTTTTTCGAACTCTTAAAGGAATAATGATCAATACTTAGATTGTCCAAATTTAAATTTTACAAAATAAATTGACAAAATTTAATGATAAAAGTAATATTATGCATAGTAATCATACCCAACCTGGTTGTCGATTGGACAAATCATCAAGTTCAGTAGTGCAATCGTCGGGTCATTGCAATGTCGAATTAAAACAAAGAGTCCATCACTTTGATAAAATCGAACCTTATGCCTCTAGCATGAAAAACTAGCACTCTACCTTATGAACTACACGACCTTTTGTCGAAAGCTAGTACATTTATAAATACTAAACATCAAATCTTTATAATCCTTTTCTTTTGGGCCTCCGCCCTTAGGGTCGTCAAATTTCGCACGCAAAGAATATTAGAGTTGAAGAGGCACAACCTGAGGGTTTCCTACATTTTGAAAGCGTAAAAAAAATGTGTTAACAATTTTATCCTTTATATTTGAAAAGAAAATTGAGTACATATGTTCTAATAACAAAGGAATTGACAGCAAATGGACAAAATGATGGCTTTCGCAATGAGAGGTGTAAATAGGGGTGAAAATGTCAAAAAATACAAGTTGAAAAGGTTTTGCACAATTATATTAAAATATATGAAAGTTTTGTGCTTATTACCCTATATTTTTTATTGCAATTTTTCAATGGCATGGAAATATTTATAATTTCAGTCAAACATGACAATTATTAAAGATATTAAATATGCATTGTGCACCAGGAAAATCAAAATCAGATGAGTCCTTATTTGACTAAAGATAATTATATTGACATGACGTTTTTTATCTACATGATAGATGCATACCAATTAAAATATTTTTTTAATAAATACACCACTTTTGTAAATAGTAAATTTATTAGTGAAAGACAGTTGTACTTATACAGTCCTAGAAATTATTATCGTTGCATCCTCTCTATAAATATAAGGTTTTGGTTCTTAATGAAACAATAAAAAGTCTAAGCTTAATTCTTCAAAATTTAGAGAAGGTAGTAATTTTTTTATAAGCATAAATATTCGTCATGTATACCAAAATAAATTTGGTGATGTATGTATTTTTTATTTTTATTTTATATATAAATATGCATCAAAACGAGGCTTCTTAATTTTATGATAATATTTATTTGAGTTCGGCCTTTTATTTATGTTCAGTTTTTTGTTACGTAATGATTAATATCTGTACACATAGGGTTTTATTTTACCTATGTATGTCTATATTAATGATTATCCAATTTTCGTAAATTACGTGGACACATGAGGTTTGTATGCATGAGTTTTGCTACACAAACGAGAAGAATTATTCTGTATGCATATGTTTGCTTTAATCAATGATGAAACTTCACATCTTCAAATTTTACGTGGATCCAAGCTATCTGCTGTTAATAACATAGTTTGCATGTATGTGTAAAAAAAAGGAAAAAAAGAAAAAGAAAAAAGCAAGCTATCATCAAGCTTATATTATAATGTTGTTTTGTAAAATAGTGAGTCAATTATTGATGATTATCAAACAATCTTTATGTCTTTAACATGATTAATTTGTTTTTATGTTCTTTAAAATAATGATTTATCATGTTGTTATTCTTGAAGTATCATGACGTTATAATTAATATTCTAGAAGAATATTAAACGTAGATCTGCTTATTATAAATAGTTTGGTTTTGTTCATGAATTAATACAACATTATAATTAAAATTTATGAGAAATATTATTCGCTCCTGAAGAGCGTAAATTATAATTTTCAATCTTCTAGAAGAATATTGACATTTTGCTCTTGAAGAAGTAAAAGTAAAATACAATGTACTATCGAAATAGTACATGTTTCGAAAAAATTTATTTTAAATTAGTGTTTATCCTTGAAAAAAAAATATGTAAATTAATTCATGTTGGTATTGACTACCTGATTAACTATTATGTGATATTTAATCATATTCTTCGAAATTAATTGTATTTCCTTTATTGTGTAGTTAATCAAATGGAAAATATCACAAAATTTAAGGTTTTTGTAGTTGACATATCTGGCAAAAACTATCTGTCATAGATACTCGATGCTGATATACATCTTGTCTCAAAGGGTCTAAGAGAGATAATAAAGAAGGAAACAAAGAATTCTTGTAGGATCGTGCAAAAACACTCATCTTCACGATGAATTGAAAATTGAATACCTCATTAAAAAAGATCCACAAGTTCTTTGAATAAATTGATTAAAAGATTTAATCATGAGAGGACTATAATCCTCCCTAAAGCTCGTTATGAATGAATATATTTTCGTTTGCAAGACTTTAAAACTATTAGTAAATACAATTTTAAACTGTTCAGAATATGTTCGAAATTGACCTTGTGTGGAGAAAAAAATTGATGAATACATATTGAAGAAAATTTTTCCACCTTTTCACGCCTCGAATGTGCTCATGCAATAGTATCGTGAGCATGGTTTCAAAAAATACTCAGAATTCATATTTTTTTTTACTTGTAGCTGAATAAAATAATGAACTGGTGATGAAAAATCGTGTGTTACGTTTAACTGGTTCTGTATTATTCCTTGAAACAAATGACACTACATTGTTGGAAACAAATACAATATCAAGATAAGGACGTTAACATGAATGTGGATGCGGACGCGACGTGTACGTGGAGTAAACCATGGACGAAATAATCGACAAAACTATCAACAACAAGGTAACAATGTCAAAACACACAAAGCAAATGAAAATAACACATTCAAAAAGGAGTAAGAAGAAAGTTGCATTAGATGTAGAACGAAAGGGCATTGAACACATACTTATCGTACATCGAATCATCTTGGGAATCTCTACAAAAAATTAATTAAGAAAAAGAAAAAAGTAGAAACAAATTTTGCCGATTATGATGATTCAATTAACATGATTTATT